TTTGGAGTTATACTCACCTCCACCATCAGTTCTAAGAATCTTCAACTTCTGACCACTCTGATTCTCAGCCTTCATTCTGAACTTCTTGAATTCATCAAACACCTCGTGTTTGAACTTAATAAGGGATACCCATGTCATTCTTGTGAATTCATCAACAAACAACACAAAGTATTTATTCCCTCCAATTGATGCTACTGGAAATGGACCACACACATCAGAGTGTACAACTCCCAAGGCATGTTTTGCTCTTGGAGCAACTTCTGATGCAAATGGCAATCTTGGTTGTTTTCCTTCCATGCAAACTTTGCATGACTTTTCAGGCTTCTTAATTGCAGGAATTCCATGTACCAATTTCTTTGAATTCAGATGTTGTAAGCTTCTGAAATTCAAATGACCAAATCTTCTGTGCCACAGCTCACTCTCCTTCTCAGTACTTGTTGCACTAAGACACTCTGAGTCTGCAGTTCTGGCATTCACCTTGAATGTTCTATTCCTTCCCTGTTCTGACTCCATAATCAACTTCTGATTACAGTCATACAGCTTCAGAAGATTGTCCTTCATGGTAACTGAGAAACCTTTCTCAATTAATTGTCCCACACTCATCAGATTGCTTCTGATGCCAGGTACATACCACACATTCTGAATCAATGCTGTTTTCCCATTGTTCAGAATCACTCTGACATTTCCCATACCTTCTGCATTAAGATATTTGTCATCAGCACATCTGATCTTTGTTCTCTTTTCAGAGTCAAAGTCAACCAGCCATTTCTTGTTTCCAGTAAGATGATTTGAACAACCAGTGTCCATATACCACCAGTCTGTCAGATCATCAGATTCAGAGGCCATCAATAGCACAGATTCGTCATCAGAACTTCTGGCTATATTTGCTTCTTTTGATTTCTTCTCCTTGTTTGACCAACAATCTCTAGCAAAGTGACCAAACTTCTTACAACAGTAACATTGGATCTTCTTCTTGTCATACTTCTCTTTTCCCTTCTGAGCATTCTTTTGTCTATCAGAGGTTGAGGTTTCTGACTTCTGACCACCATCAGATCTTCTCTTGGCTTCTGACTGCTTCTGATACCTCCTATCAGAAATTGCTTTCAGAGCCTGCGGCTCTACTTCCCTTTCAGAAGTTCTCTCAGTCAAACGCAACTCTTGCGCTTCTAAACTGCTCTGCAGCTCTTCAATTCTCATTGTGCTCAGATCTTTGGAATGTTCTATTGCTACCACAATGTAATCAAATTGAGGAGTAAGGGATCTCAATACTTTCTCCATGATTGTTTCTTCAGAAAGAGTTTCTCCACATGCCTTCATCTCATTAGTGATCAGAATCACTCTGGAGATGTATTCAGAAACTTTCTCATTATTCTTCATGTTGAGATTCTCATATTGCTTTCTCAAGGACTGAAGCTTCACCTTCTTCACTGATGCGTCACCACCATAACATCTCACCAGAGTGTCCCATGCAGCCTTTGCTGTTGTAGAGTCTGCAATCTTCTCAAACACGTTTACATCCACACATTGATGAATGAAGAACAATGCTTTCTGATCCTTCTTCCTTACTTCCTTCTGCGCGTTTTTCTGTTCATCGGTTGCATCTGCTGCTACTGGAACATAACCATCAGTGACAAGATCTAGAACATCTTGAGCACCAAATAGTACACGCATTTGGATCATCCAACGATTCCAGTTTTTACCATCAAATACTGGAAGTTTGGTGTTCATGTTGCCGTTTCCGTTCATCTTCTACTTTGCACAATACACTCAGATTTCTCACACAGTGTTTCCCAACCCACAGAATAAAATTCTGATCAGATTTTGTTCAAGATTCAACACGAATCTAAGAATCAAAATCAAACACACAAGACCTCACGTTCACTCGTGTTTCCCGTGTTTCCCAATGAATCTGAACCGGAGCTCTAGATACCAATTGTTGGTGCAAAGATAGAATAAATGATGAAAATAGGGAAATATTCTATTAAAGAGAATGACGGCAGAAGAAACAGGATTTTGAGTTACAATGATTGTCACCCTATTTATAGACTAAAACTAGGGTTACTAGAATAAGATAAAATACTGAAATGCCCTCTAACAAACTTATGGGCTTAAGAAAATAATATAATAAAATATGAATTATTACTAATAGTTTAAACTTGCCTTTGAATTCTTGTTGACTATAAATAAAATTTGACAAGCAAAATTGCATGATGACCAAATGTTAAACGAAATAGGGTAACATTGGTTGCTTCTCTAGAAGAATTTCGATAGGCCCGTAATATTTGGTATAAAGTTTTATTTCAATTCCTTGGCTTTTGACCAACATCTTCTTTAATCAGGTCAATTATGATTTTGTTAGTTGCCTCGACTTGACCATTCGCTTGAGCATAATAAGGGGTAGACCTTAAAAGTTTGGTTCCTAAATTTGAAGCAAACTCAACCATTTTTCGTCCAGTAAAAATTGTATCTTGATTACTGGTTAAAGTTTTAGGTATTCCAAACCTACAAATAATATGGTTTTGAATGAAATTAATTACTACTTCCTGATTAATATTAATCAAAGGAACAACTTCAATCCACTTGGTAAAATAATATATACGAACAAAAATGTATTCATGGCCTTTGGATGAGGTAGGTCAATTCACCAATTAAATCTAAAGGTCAACCTCTAAATGGTCAAGGTTTGACAATTAAGTGTAATTCACTTGTAGGAACATGTTGTATACCTACATGCTTCTGACATTCTTGGCAACCTTTTGCAAATTCGACACAATCTTTCAACATAGTTAGCCAATACATACCTTGTCGAAATAAGAGACACTTCATCTTGTGGCCTGCTTGATGAGCACCACATGACCTACTATGGACCGCAGAGGTTGCCAAACAAGCTTACTTCACTAAGGCATTTAAGTAAGATTCTGTCACGATTCTTTTTAAAGAATTTGTTTCAAATAATAACATAACTTAATTCCTTATATTTAATTTTTTTAATTTGTCACTCTTGTTGGATTTTTCAAAAAATCAGCAATCGATTCTTGCCAATCATTATTCGACAAAATTCTAAATAGAAAAAATTTCTACTGAGTTTTTTAATTCATCAATCCCTTCTACCTCCACCAATTTTGACTGTGACAATCCAAATGGGAAAGGATTTGTTGAAATCAACTTTTCTTTTACCTCAACCAATTCTTCTAACTTTTTCTTAGAAACTCTATAACCATAAGCAATTTGTGATGAATCATTAGCTTCTTGGTTTTCAATTTGAGAAACTTGTTTGATGTGGACTTCATCAAATCTTCTTAATAATGAATTGGCCTTGACAAAGTACATCAGCAGATTCTCTTTGATTCATTTGTACTCTTTTGTCAATTGTTTCGCAACCAACTCTAAATCACATTTAATTTCAACTCATTAATCCAAAAGAATCTCAAGACCTTTTATTAAATCTTCATATTCAGCCTCACTATTGGAGGAAAAATCTTTAATTTTGAATTTGAACTTCATTAGAATTTCTTGAGGAGAGATGATCAAAATTCTAATATCAGTTTCAATTTTATGTTTAGAACCATTGAAGTTCAATTTCCAAGATTTTAGACTAACATAATCTTATGTCACTTCAACTTGCATGATCAACAATAAAATCAGTAACAACTTGACCTTTCGCAGCTCTTAAAGGGGCATATGTTAAAGAGTATCTAGTCAAAGCTAAAGCCAAATTTCCAATTTGACTATGTAAAAAAAGTTTTGACAACATATGCTTAATAACATCAAAATGAGAATAAACAAAGACATTAGTAGGCTTTATATAATATTTTAACTTAGTATATGAGAAATACAAACAAATACATAACTTCTATACTGGATTATACCTAATTTTTGCATCATTCAATACTCAACTAAAGTAATAAATATCTCGTTTGATGTCATCATGATCCTTTTAAGCTAACATACTTTTCTATTATTAATTTAGATATAAAAATATACAATTTCATGAATTTATTTCTCATAGAGGTAACAAAATATAAAGATTCATCAAATAACTCTTAATTTCATCAAGAGTTTGTTGATGCTATTTCCCATTTGAATCCTTCTTTCCTTAAACGCATTAGTGGTGATTATGCTTAGTTAAAAGAGTTTTTATTATTTTCAAAGAGTTTTTAAGATGTTTATGAGAAGAGATGAAGTTTTGAATAATTTTAATACTTAGAACTTCGGATCATAAGTGTGCTTTGAACCATCAAATATATTTCTGTATGATGTTCAAGAGGTTTGATTCCTTGTTGTCTCTTCATCAAAAACATTACTTCACATTTTTTATACATCTTTATCTTTTATGATAATTTTCATGTTTGATATTTGTTGCGTCATCATCAAAATGTACACGCACATATAACCGCGGAGAAACTGTCTACTTGTTTAGGAGGACGATATACTCCTGCACCGCAATCCAAAAAAAAAGTTATTTAAAAAATAAAATAACAAATTTACCAATATAGTCTTGATTAATTATCCTTGTAATATAAACATTACCAAATTTTATGATAATTTTACTAATAAAGATGTGTAGTGGGAATAGTGACAAATGTTAGAAGATAACAAAACCAACCTCTACTCCACCGTCCAAACTAGAAAACTATGGTCTACTTAGCATAGTGATATGGATTGGTTCTCCGTAATAGAACCATCGAAAAAAGTAGTACTAGTTACCTACAAAAACGCGCTATAAACTAAACAAACATTCATCACTCTCTCTCACACATCTCAATATTCTTCTTCCATTACTTCTTCTTACTACTCTTCAATTCATCGACAACAACCCATACCCACCTATACAGGGTTTTTGTTTTTCTTAAATTCACAACCAATCTTTTTTTTAAACATTATACCTTTGTCCTTTTCATTCTTTAATTCTATTATAAAACCTCAACCTCAATTTCTGGTTCTAAACACAACACTTTTCCAACTTCAACCACTCACAGTTTTTGAGCGGTTAGAAATTGATGGAGCAGAAAACTGAAAGGGATGTGTTTCAATTTCAACATTGGAGAAATGAATCATGGCAATGGCAAGGTTTAGAGTTTGAGGACGTCAAAGAAAATCATCAACTCAAGTTAATGTTATCATTGCCTGAAATACCTGAGCCACCAACACCTCTTGAGCCTATGGAGTTCTTATCAAGATCTTGGAGTTTATCCGCTTCTGAGATTTCAAAAGCACTTTTAGAGAAACAACACAAACAAATTTTTGTTGAAAACAGGCCTGAAACATTGCCAGAACCTATTCCTGTGCCTCAATTAACGGTAATATAAAATGATTTTAACTTATTTTATATAAGCACTTATTTGATAACCGTTTACAATATAAGCGCTTAATTAAGTTGTTACTGTTTTGTGGTCCACTTTTGCAGTCAGGCAAGATCATACCTTCTACGAATTGTCGAAAGGGTACGATTGGAAAATGGTTGCATCAGAAGCAGCATGGGGGTGCGAACACGAATGTTAAGAGGAAAGATCGAGCGCGTGTAGAGAATGCGCGAGCGCATTCTGCTCTGTCGATTGCTGGATTGGCCTCTGCGTTGGCTTCTGTAGCTGCTAGTAGTGACAGTCACTCTAAATTGGATGTTGCTATGGCTTCAGCCACACAACTCTTGGCGTCTTACTGTGTTGAGATGGCCGAGTTGGCAGGTGCTGATCATGACCGTGTGGCTTCTACTGTCAAGTCCGCGGTTGATATTCAAACACCGGGCGATCTAATGACCCTTACTGCTGCAGCTGCAACAGGTACTTCCTAAAAATCGAACCAAACCAGACAGTTCAATTGTGGTTTTTTACTGATTCAGTGTCTGGTTCGGTTTTTAAAACATTGTTTTCTATGTTTTTAACTCTAAGATTTCTTATGGAACAATATTGATGATTCGGTTTGGTTTGGTTTGGTTTGGTCTGATGTGTTATTTTTTCTTGTATTGTAAGCTTTGAGAGGAGAAGCGGCGTTGAGAGCAAGATTTCCAAAAGAAGCAAAGAAGAATGCATCAATAAGTCCCTATGATAGAGGAGTGGCAGAAACACATTGTTCTCCTGTTTTCGAGGGTCAAATGTTGGAAAACCATTCTCCATGTGAGGGAGATTTGTTGCAGGTTACAGAAAAAGGTAATTAATCGTTAAAGATCGTGCTTAGCTCTTTCTCGATTAATCGGATTAAGGAATTCACAACATGTATTGGTTGATGTACATTACTTCAGGTTCATTACGATGGAAACATGTGTCTGTATACATCAACAAGAAATATCAGGTACATAATTCATGCCTAGAAAACAAATACCGAAGTAGTGATTCTGGAGATAAGAAATTGTATTCAATATTATTTATCTAAATTTTTAGGTCAAGATTAAGATCAAAAGCAAGCACATTGGAGGAACTTTCTCCAAAAAGCATAAATGTAAGCAGTTTTAAACATTAAAATCTCGACTCTAACAATCATATGCATTTTCTAATCACATTTGACAAATATTTGCAGGTGTGGTTTATGGAGTTTGTAACGAAGACTCTGCATGGCCATATAGAAAAGAAAGGGAAGCTTCTGAAGAGATCTATTTCGGCCTCAAAACTGCACAAGGTCTACTAGAATTCAAGTCAGAGAGCAAACTTCACAAGCAAAAATGGGTTGATGGGATAGAATTTCTACTCGGTCATGCCAACTCGGCCGAAGCAACAGAAAAATCTATGAATTTGTTAAATATTAGTAGCAGCACTTGATTTGTTTGGATTTTGTATATGCCTCAATAGAGTAGAACATATAAAATTTTGCCAAACAATGAAACTCATAAGAATGTTACATTATTACATTATATATAGTTGATGTTTGTCCTCAAAATACAACAGTACTCTTTTCTTCATACGGTAAAACTCTAAGCTCGCAATAAGATCTGATAGCCATTGACAGACATTGTTTCTCGAGGTTTTCTGATTTCTGCACAAAGCTCTGCAAGTCATCCCTATGAGAAACTCTTTCAACCTGCAGTTGGAAAAGGTTGTAGCACAGTTTATGAATGAAGATCTCAAATGAGTTTAAAAGATAAACAAGTTTTCTAAGTTTTGTTCACCATTTGTTCAATAATTGGTCCAGCATCAACTCCTTCAGTTACAAAATGACTTGTTGCACCAATTAATTTCACACCTGCTTCATAAGCCTGCCAAGATAATCTATCATATTAAACACATTTGCACCCGCTTATAACATAAGTGATTGTTATATAAGTGCTTATGTATAATCTATTTCAAAAGTTACCTGTTTACATGGATTTCCGCCTCTAAATGATGGCAACAAACAATGGTGAATGTTAATTATATCCTTCCCATAGCTTCTTAAAAAAGTGCTTGATAGTATCTACACAAATAAACCAATTGTCACAAATTTACAATATGTTACTCTTAAGAAATACTGAAAATTCAAATAGTAATGAAACATTTACCTGCATATATCTGGCAAGTACTAAAAAATCAGTATTTTGAACCAGCTTTAAGATATCGTCTTCTCTTTTGTTCTCTGTCGTTGTTCTTAAATAATGATAGGGAATATCGTGCCTTGCAAGAAAGCGAATCACTTCGCTTTCTGGACCTCGATCATGGTTACTGTCAAATCAAATGTGTATAGTCGAAGACAATGAGTAAGATCGAAAAACAAATGAATCGGTTTAGCTAAGTAGTTTCTTAAACTTCACCTAATTACACAAGTTATATCCACTGGTAATCTTCCATCTTGCCATCCATGTAATGAATCAATCAGACAGTGATCCTGCAACAACATAAAAATAAAATAAAAAACTCAAACGTGATCGATGTTCGACTAACCACTCACATTTGAATCGACCATGAAACTAACCTGGTTTGATGCAAGAACAGCAACCTTATATCTAGGATCAAGAGATGGGACCCTTAAAATAGATCTCACAGCATTAAATTGTTTAGAAAGCTTTAAGAAATCCTCATCCATTTGTAACCGAGGCCATTTAACATGATCAAAAACAAAATCACTGTAATAAACAACATGAGAAACATAAAATGCTTCATTTGAATCCAAAAAAAAGACAGAAACATCAACAGAAGACAGTAATTAGCAGTTAGTACTAGTTACGTTCTAGAGTAGAAGAGTCCTTTGTTTTGAGGCACAAAAACATCAGCAGCAAGAATGTTACCACCATTAGAAGCAATACAATCTGATAGTTTTGCAACTATTCCAATTTCATCCTATGACAAAAAAAACAAATCCATTTGTGACATAGGATTATGATGAATGGTTGATGACAATAACTGAATGATGAATATGAATGTGATGTGACTTACAGGGCATTGAAAGACGTGGATACCATGTGTGAGGAAAGAACTGTAGTTTCTGTAGGAGAATCTTCCAAGTTGGGAGGTGAAACCAGTACACAATCTTGGGATTTTCATTTGGGTGTCTTGTGCAATTGTGTTCACACAACACAACTACTTGTTTTTGATATTTAGATATTATTGAAGTCAAGTACATTTTTCTAAAAATTATATACGTGGTCAAAAATATTTTGAATCAATAAAGAAGAAGAAAAACAAATAATATAAACACAATTACAAACAAGATAGGTATAGTTTATAATTAACTTAGAAGTGATAACTATCTATAATTGGGATCATCATTATCCATATTCATCTTTTTGTATTTTTTATACTAATTATAGTATTTTTGTGACAAAAAGTTGAAAGAGGGTAATATTTTAATAATTATAATGTATTGTAAATAATAGGTAGAGTTAGTTTTATTTTTAGTTTGTTTTATTTTATATTGAATTAATTGTCATCTTGTGGTAAGAACCATTAAATAATGTTTGTTAGATCTAGATTCTTCCTCTATTTAAATAAATCACCTATTGAATTGTAAACTTTTTTCTTGGATAAATTCAAATTATATTTAAAAAATTTGTTAGAAGTATGTCTTACAACTTTAAGTGATAAAAAAAGAGAAAGCATATTTGAAGATTGTATAAATTAAATAAGAAAATTTTTAAAAGTAAGAAGATCAAAAATCAGGTAAAAATCGAAATTCGCATATGTGGGTCGCGGCCGGCGGTGGCGCACGATGGTAGGTCGCAAGGCAGAGGAAAACCGTTGTGGCGGCGGCCGACAATCGATGTCGGCGACAACGGAAAACGTTGTGGTAGCGGCAGATGGAGGGTCGCGGTGGTGCGACGTTTGACCGAAGGGTCCGTACAGTGGTGGCTCGGATGTGTCCATACGGCGGGTCAGAATCAATTTGTACGTTTATCATATTTTTCGATCATCTAACATGTTTTCTTAGTTCGTGTGTTTTGAGATTTTTTCGGTTCGGTTCATGGACTCATTTGTTAATGAGTTGTGCTTTGCATTTTATTATGGATCTATTAGTTTTTAGCAATAATACATATGTATTTCCTCTATAATTATATTTGTGACAATCTTGAGAATTTTAGAGTCGAATGAAGAAATAAGGGTTTAGTGAACTTTAAGGGTAAACACAGAAATGCAAGGTTTTGAAAATTTTTTAGATTTATCTAAGAGGATCAAAAATACTTTTAAATATTTTGAATTTGTGTGATTCTTATAGAGAGTGAGAGTGGTTGAGAAATATTTGGATAATATGTTTGTTTGTGTTTGTGATGATTGGAATGAATCGTGTAAATGACCGTTGTACATTAATGTGTTTTTTTTCTTTATTATGAAAATTGAAAATAATGTTTATTTGTGTTTGTAATGACAATATTAAGTGCTCTTTTGAAATTGTAGTGACAATACAATTACTAACTGATCTGACCTGATCAGAAGGGGATCACGGGCTGGCCACACGTTGTTGGACTGCTACTTGTTCACCGGTGATGAGGAGGAGAAAGGGGGTGTACCTGTAAGACACTCCGATGCCAAAGTAAGGAATTGGGCAGAGCGAGAGCAAAGTACAGAAATGGGGTAAGAAGTGAATTACCTGACCCTCTTGAGGAAGAGGGTATTTATAGAGAGATCCCAACGCTGGGTCAACGATCACTTGCGTTGGGCTGGATGGTCAGACCCAACTCAGGTGACTGCTAGGGCTTACGTGGCGTAGTGAAGACCGGGACGTGGTCTTCGCCCTAGTCCAACTATCTCGTGGTCTCCAGAAAGTGGGTTTGACCTGCTCTTTCGGAGGTGGGCAGTTGGGGGATGACGTGCCTCCGCGGAGGGGAGCACGTGGAGACGTGTGAAGGACACGTTGTCCTGCCCGACAGGAGGGCGGGTTCTGCCCGCGGGGGGCAGTATTTGGCCGGTGGGCATCCTCCTGCCCGACGGGGTTGGGGTGCGCCTTCCTCGCATGGAGGCCTTTCTGCCTCGTCGGAGACCTCGTGCCCGACACGGTACCCGGACAGGATAGGTCTGGTGGAACATTATTGGGCTGAGCCCGCGTGGTCAGACCGGGGCCCAGGCCAGAACACTAACAAATTGCTAAAACATAACAATTAGATAGCTAAAAACAAATGTTAATTTCATTAATTCAAATTCGATTTGATATTTAATCAACATTACATTTAAATTGAAAAAGGCCTAAACTTAAAACATATTACTTCAAATTGTAGACAACCGGAAAAAAAAAACTCCATCAAATAATAAGGACAACAATTAGCCAATAATATTTGTTTATTTTTTTAATTTGAAGTATTTATTGATTTTTCAAGCTTCTTTGAATATGACTCATTGTCATATTCTTTGTCAAACTCCTTTTTAATACTCTTGTAAAATTCTCTAAAATAATTCAGTATTACATCATAGTTGTTGCAATCCAATTCTAAACTTGTGGGAAGTGTGTGATTTAGAGATTTGTCATTGTAACCATTTAGTTCCTCATCCTGGATAAACAACTGACAATTGATTGCATTCTACAATTAAAAACAAGATTGGAGAGGAATGAGATTAAAATACCATGTTGTTAGCTGAAATTTTTCGACAAGGAAAAACAACCTCAACATAAGACAAAGTTAAAGGTACATAAATCATTAATGACATATACGCAGTTGGAGTCTCAGATTGAAGGAACTTGAAACTTATTATTTTTTTGGAATGTTTTGTGTTCTGGGCTGGACTGGCACATGCCCCACAGTTGGACAAGGTCCAATCCAGTTTAGCTTAAGGTCAGGCCTAATAAGGAGATTGGGAAAATCTAGCCGTTGGGCACAATATAGTCGTTAGGCATAATATGACCGTTGGAGCATATAGCCGTTGGGGACATCCCTCTCACGCCCTTGACAGTTTACGCGACCAACTGCCCCTTTCAAAAATCATAGGGACAGTTGGACCAGGTCAAAGATCACGCGCTAGATCTTCCACCTGGCAGTCCCCCATTGACCGACCAGATATTTCGGTCACATGGGAGACCTTGGCCCCGCGCTGGGGGGAATCTCATAAATACCCTCTCTCTTGAGAGGATCAGGTATCTTAATCATTTTAACTCATACCTAAACACTCTTACTTGCTTTCTCTCTAGCCAAAACTTATTTTGATATCAGAGTACCTTACAGGTACACCCCCTCATCTCTTGCAACCACTGTTGTTGCCCTACATTAAAGGCCAAGACGATTCATTCTGATCACTCCAGATCAGTGACACCGTCTGTGGGAACCCAACTCCCCCGTCTTTTTGAACTAAGATCCCCCAATCTTCCCGAACAAAAGACAAAGCTATCTCTCTGAACCTTCATCGTCATGGCCTCTTACCATAACCCATCAAGATTTCGTCGTTGCCATTCTAGGTAGCGGCGAAACCCTCATACTCGGAACCGCTAGCAGAGAGACCAATCATAGAGACGGAAAACTGACATCTCCATCCTCTGACAATGTGAAGCCTCGTGTCCAAAGTTCCGACCACGTATACCAGCTCATCATTGTCCCACAAGATGCTGACCCCTACACTGCGGCCTTCATCGCCACTCTCAACAAATCCAACTACCTGCTTTTCCAACAAGGGGAAAAAATCCACATGCTGAAAAGCACCATCGGAGAAAGATCTCCCCCGCGGAGATCCATCAGTCCATCTCGTCGGTCTCACTCCCCTCTTCAAAAATGTCGCAGAGACGAATCTAGAAGCATCTCCTCAGTCAAAGAATGGTCTAAATTGGAGAAGTATGGGCACAAGATCACCAGAAGACGCGATCGTACCCCTCCTTGGAGGTCTAGGCACTCCTCAGCGTCTAAGAGAACCAGACCTTCAGAAAAGCCTCACGAAGAGCACCGAAGCCGACACTTACATTCTCCTTGACGCAGCAGGAGCCGTGGACACAGTTATTCTCTCAGCAGGTCGATAAGCACGAGCGGCGAAGATGACGTGCGCGGTCCCCTATCTCAAGAAATCATGGACACCCGCATTCCTCGCAGGCTGGAGAAACCTCCCCCTCTAGCTCTCTATGATGGTACCACTGACCTTGGCGACCACATAGAAAACATTGAGGTCATGCTGCACTACCACAATGTTACTGGGGCGATCAAATGCAGGATATTCCCCATCACCCTCGAGAATGGGGCTATGGCTTGGTATAAGATCCTTCCTCGGGGCTCGATCACCTCTAAGAAGAACCTGAAGGAGCAGTTTTCTCGACATTTTACTACCTCCATGCGTCATCCAAAATCTGAAGCCACACTTGAGGGTATCATACAGGGCAGGGACGAGCCTCTCCGCGACTACGTCGGCAGATTCAACAAGGAAGCGATCAAGATCCGCACAACTGACCACATAAAGAAGTACCTTCTAGAAAAGGGACTAAGGGCGAAAAGTGACTTCCGCAAGGCGGTAGGGATCAATCCTCCTCGTTCTCTAGCCGAACTTCTCTGTGCGACATAATCCTATATTCAATACGAGGAAAAGGAAGTTGCATATAAAGCACGAGACTCGAGGGACCAAGAGAGTTCCAGAGCATCGAAGAAGGACGAAGTAGAAACTTCCAAGCGAGACAGAGATAGACGATGAGATGACCGTCCCCGTGATCACAAAGGGCCTGCGAGTCGCTTCACCAAATATACCCTACTGACCATTCCTCGTGAGTGTATCCTTTCTGAATGTATCAATATCGAATTCAAATAAGGAGGCGTGCGATTCCCTAAGTCGACTGCTTCAAAGAGCAACATCGGCCGAAATAAATATTGTCGCTTCCACCGCAGCCATGGCCACATGACAGAAAACTGCACCTACCTGAAAGACGCCATCAAAATCCTCATCAAAGAGGGCCACCTATATAAATATACGAAGAGAGAATAAGCCCCCCGAGGAGAGACGTTGAAGTCTAAGAAAGCGGAAATAAGAGCTTCGACTTCTAGCCCTCCTCCACTGGTATCCATGTCTGTCTCCCGGTCAGAGGACTTTTTCATCCCCAATAGCCTCGAGGAGCCTGCATATTTTTCAATGCACGGTCCCTGGGAGGCCTT